TGACATGACACTGCGAGTGCCCTCTGACAGATTTTTTAAGAACTTATTGACTTGCCCTCGTATTTTTGAAAATGAAATTTTAGGACTGACTTGGAATTTTTGTTTCATTCTTCATGCTGTTTATGATGGGATTATTACAAATTAAAAAGATACAAGTAACTTTGAGATTATGAAATCTATGATTCATTTTATTTGCAATACGCATACCTGATACAAAGAAGCGATAACAAAAGAAGAAGAAGATCAAGAAAAAATGATAATGACAAGTCAAAGAAATGAGATGAAGTTTTAAAAGAGTTAAGAAAAAAATGACTTTAGACGAAGCTTTAAAAGCAAGAGCGGACATTGAAAATTAGATTAATAATTTAATTAGCGCCAATAAATTAATGATTTTATAAGATAATGTTTTAATAAAAAGGAAAGTTGTGTTTGAGAGTATAAACACAACTTCCTTAAAGATGCAATAAGGCAAGTTACTAATAAGAAACTTGGATTTAATGTCTACTATTATAAAACAGAATATAACAGAGAAATTATCGTTTGTGTTGAATATTTATTTGATGTATTTGGAGCAACAATATTGCGCAAATTAATAAAAATTAATTAATAAAAATTAATTAACCTGAAAAAACCAGAATTTTTATCTGAAAGATCCTGGAATTATCCTTGAATTGATTAGCCACATATCGCAGGGCATCCTGATTAGTTCCGTTATGTTTAATCGCCAATTGGTAATAATAGAAATAATCTACACACATAAGTGTATAGATTACTGTAACATTAAAGATGTTTATGTTCTTTTTTTTCCTTTAGAAGAAATAAAAATCGTGCATGATTCTTATTTCTATCCCATCGCCTGTAATTCTCTCCACGCAAAGGCTCGATGAGTCAGCTTCGGCAAGCCGATCACGCCGGAAATCGATATCAAGCAAATCGACGGATTGGAGCTTTCTCTACAGGCGGCCGCCAAGCAGCTTCCTTCTTCTGCTTTAATGTTAAAGCCTTCAGAGCCATCGGAGCATTATTGAGCGTAGAGTGAGCGAGAGAGAGAGAGAGAGAGAGAGAGAGGTGCGCGCGCGTGGAAGGATGGTCGGGTGCTCACCTTACTCATAGCACCCACGCGGATCTGATCGAATCCAATTCGTCGGCACGCGTCCAGATACCCGCGGAAGGTCACAGACGCCTGCGGCCCTTTCTCTCTCCCTCTTCACCACATCGTGTTCTGCATCAACCCTCTCTGTCCCATTTCCTATCCTCAACCCGTCCTTCACTCTCGCGAGGTAGAGCGCGCGCGCTTGAGCGATAAGCTGTGGTGGCGGCGCGGCGG